CTTCAGCGCGCGCGGGGGGGTCTGGGAACATCCCCCCTCGCTCTAAAACAGGGCTAGGATCGGGATAAATCGCTCCAGAGCGTTCTGGAGCGCTCTCAGAGCGTTCCGGAACGCTCTGGAGCGGCCGCGGCGCCCGATACATCCTCCAAACCCGCCGATTCTCAGAGATGTCGACTTACCCCGATCCGATTTTGTCCCGATCTTCGCGTCGTTGTACGCTCGCCGCCGAACTCTCCCCCCCCGCTCGTCGCTCGCAGGGACGGCGGCGGCGCTGGGCCACCCGCGGGCGCCGCGGCGGGGGCGGCTCTGTCCGACATCCTGGCGGGGCAGCCGCCGCCCAAGCGGCCCAAGTCCGCGCCCAGCGCCGGCCCCCTGGAGCCGCAGACCGGCCCGGCGCCCGTGCAGACGAAGGCCGCCCCGGCGGCCTCCTCCTCCTCCTCCTCCTCCTCCTCCTCCTCCTCCTCCTCCTCCTCCTCCTCCTCCTCCTCCTCCGCGCCGGCGCCTGCGGCAAGCAGTGCCATAAAACGACGCGGAGATCGGGACAGAATCGGATCGGGATAAGTCGAAATCTCTGAGAATCGGCGGGTTTGGAGGATGTATCGGGCGCCGCGGCCGCTCCAGAGCGTTCCGGAACGCTCTGAGAGCGCTCCGGAACGCTCTGGAGCGATTTATCCCGATCCTGGCCCTGTTTTACCTGCGGCAAGCAGTGCCACCGACCCGGCCCCCTCGACTACACGTAACATCGGGGCTCAAGAGACGGGGGTCAGTGCAAACGGGGGTCAGCCAGGGCACCGGATCCTGCAGGATCCTGCGAAGACCCCCTCTGGCTGACCCGGGTGAGCGAGCCGCTCGTGGCCGCGAGGCGGCCGCGCAGATTGGCTGACCCGGGTTTGCGAAGACCTGCGTTGAAGGTTTTTTTTCATGCATTGCAGTTTTTTGGTTTCCTGCTGACCGGGGTCTGGATTGACCCGGGTCGCAAGATCCCCGATAAGAGTGACCTCTTCCCCGGAGTGACCTTTGGTGCGGGCCCATTCGGGTCCCCCAATCGCCGAACGCGATGCGATGGTAGCGTCTTGCGCGCTTGTGTTTGGCCCCAGTTCGGTCCCTCCGCGGCCCTCAAGAAACCGCGCACCAAAGGTCACTCTTACCCAGGGTCACTCTTGCGTTTAGCCGACCCTCTCAACCTCCTAGATTTTGTAAGTCGGGCCCGTCCCTCTACAGGAGGAATCTTCAAAAATACTCATTTAAAAACAAAATCCCTCTGCAGGGAACCAGGCACGATTTAATCCTAGATGGGGTCGAAGGATCTCGACGCATCGCCGATGCATCGGCGATTCGGCTCGATTTGGGGCCCGACTTGCTTCACGTCGACGTCGGCGATGCATCGCCCACGTCGCCGATGCATAGCCGACGGCGGCCGACGCTGCCACAGACCCAGCTCCATCGAAGAAGAAAAAACGCCACAAACATAAACTGTTGGTGCTCCGCGCGGATGGCTTGGATCCGCGCTGGGGCCCCCCCTGGCAGCGCCTCCGGCGCCGCCCCTGGCGCCCTCAGTTGGGCGTTGCGTAATAGGGGGGTCATAAATGGGGGGGTGGCGAGGGTGGTCCGAAAAGGTACCCAAACGGTGCCTAAACGAGCCCCCTGGGGCTCCGGAGGGGCCCGAAAGGGGCACGAAAGGGGACCGTTTCTGACCCCCCTATTTGTGACCCCCCCATGAAGCCACGCCCAACTCAGCGCACCAGGGATGGGGGGAGGGTCCAGCGCGGATCCAAGAAATCCGCGCGGAGCGCCAAAAGTGCATGTTTACGCAGTTGTTCTGCCTCTAGACCCAGCTCCCTCTCGGACGTAGGAGTGACCTTCCGCCGAAGCGACCTCTGCTGCGGGTCCGCTGTAGGGCCCCCCGATCGTCGAGCGCGATGCGGCTGTAGCGTCTTGCGCGCCCGTGGTCGGCCCCCCCGCGGACCCGAAGAGGCAGCGCACCAGAGGCCACTCCTTGCCCAGAGGCCACTCCCTGCGAGCAGCCGAGCAGCGCCGCCGGCGCCGGCGACCGACGCTGCCGCCGACCGGGGCCCCTCCTGCCGCCGACCCAGACCCCATCGGGTTTGTATACCCAACTTTAACGTGGGACTTACATAGGTCATTTGGCGGTGAGAGCAGGGGTGATTGAAAGGGTGTTTGCATTGGTGCGAAATTCGGCGGCCAGAAACAGTTCCCAAACAAACGCGTCATCAATGCGATGTGCGCATCGCCAGAGAAGTCGTGTTGCGGGCGCGTCGGGGATGAGCGCGCGTGAGAGATGCAGCAGGCGCCTCGACCGAGAACGCGCAAGTCTTGTGGTGCAAGTCTCAGGAGGGAGAAACACAGACACAATGAACCGTCGATGCCCCTGAAAAAATATATATGGAAAATATGGGAAGTGGGGGGGAGGGCAGAAACCCCGTAGATTTGGGGAAACATGGGGAATCCTGTTACTTGTGTCTATCTAGTTGTGTGTCCCAGGGCCCCTTCATAACAACAAACAAGACGGCAGGTTTTTGTTTGCTACGTGCGGCCTCGCGGGGCCCTTTTCCTGGGCGTCGGGACCGTCAGAAACGACTCGGGAGGAGAGACCAGTTGCCGTCGCCTATGCATCGCCGGCGTCGCCGATGCAACGGCGATGCATCGGCGGTGCGGTGCAATCCTCTGGCCCCACGTGCTCGGACCCCATCTAGGAGGCCTCCAGTCGGTGTTTCAAAGATGGGATCCTGATGGATGGGTTCCTGCGGACGAGGTGCCTCAAACAACGTAAATGCACCCTTGGATCCCTTCTCATCCTGAGGACCCCATCCCCTAATTAGGACCTAATCTTTGAAAACCGATCTAGTGGGTCCCAGGGCCCGAAATTGGGCGAAAACGCCTGGCTCGAAAAAAATGAGTCGCCTGGATCTCGGGGCTCCTCGGAGGCGGCCAAGAAAGGGGTGCTGACTCTAAAGGGGGGGGGGGACATCATGGCTGGGGCCATGGTAGCCCCCCAGATTTCACGGCGCCTCTCCTTGTTTCAATGCGCTCCCTGGCCCCCCCTGGTCCGCTGCACACATGCCTCAGGCCGGGATCTGCACCCCCCCCCCCACTAGGAGAGGCTACACAGCCTCGGGAAAGCCGAGGCGCTGGACGTCTGGGGCTGCCGCCGACGCCGCCCGCGCCTGCCGCCGCCCGCCGCCGCCCGCCGTGCCAGCGAGCGGCGGCCGTCGCCGCCCTCGCGCCGCGGGCGGCGGAGGGAGGAAAGCGAGGAGGATAGGATAGGATAGGATGGACCGATCGCGAAGCGAAGTAACGACACCTAGCCACACTACGACACGAGCGGCAGCGACGGCGGCGGGGGAGGGGGGCGGCTGTCCTTGAAGTCGTGGTGCATGTGCGCGGGCGGGCGGGAGGAGCATCGGATGCACAGTCCACCCGCACAGAGGCCACCACCCATCAGGCCACCCCAAAACGACGCGAAGATCGGGACTAACATCGGATCGGGATAGCTCGACATCTCTGAGAGTCGGCGGGTTTGGAGGATATATTGGGCGCCGCGGCCGCTCCAGAGCGTTCCGGAACGCTCTGAGAGCGCTCCGGAACGCTCTGGAGCGATTTATCCCGATCCTACTGGGATGACCGCGGGGGGTCCTAAGTGTATAAGGGGGGTTACAAGTGGATGCCAAGGTGGGTTATATCTGGCCCAAACCTGGCTTATAAGTGGGTTACAAGTGCCCTAAGTAGCTGAGGAGGGGTCGATAACTCGGCTAAGTGGGCGGAGCCCACCTAGCCTAGATCGTTAACCCCTCTAAGCTACTTAGGGCACTTGTAACCCACTTATAAGCCAGGTTGGGCCAGATATAACCCACCTTGGCATCCACTTGTAACCCCCCTTATCCACTTAGGAACCCCCGCGGTCATCCCAGTAGCCCTGTTTTACACCCCAGCCCATCCCGAAGGCGTCCCACTTCCGTTGGGGGGGGGGATCGGGGAGCATTGAGAAAACACTTCTGCGTCGGCGGCTAGGCAGGGGCCGTCTGCGCTGGCGTTAGGGAACACAGAAAACACATGGAGCCCATACCCCCCCGAACCCGAAATTCGGGTCTTCGGGTTGAGTTGGGGTGGTCTGGTAGGTAGTCAAGTAAGGAGGAGCCACTTTCCAAGGTTACCCTTGCATCCATCCTTCCCCCTCGACCCATGCTTGGCCGCTCTCGCTGGCCGCGCCCAGCTCGCAGAGTGTCCACGTGGCCTCCCAAGGCCCTTGTATCCTTATCGTGCCTGTCCTTCTTATACGGGTTGACTGTAGCGAAGGCGCCAGCCTTACATCTACAGACAAGGCCCGCGCCTTGTAAGGAGCAGGTGTGCTTCTAAGAAGCCTTCCCCTCTCCCCCCACCCCCTCTGTGCGCCGCCGAATACAGGACCCCAGGTCCTTGATCGGGACGATCGACATGGGTACGGAAAGAATGGGCACAACGACCGACAGCACTTCTTGTGCATTCTGAACAGGTTTCGTTGTTGGCGATGCCGCCGTCGTCGTCCATTCGAGACAGAATCTCGCCTGCCCAACAGCGGCCGCTGTCGGTTTTAGACAATCTTTATTGTTGGGCATCGTGTCCATATGTTCTGTACCTATATCGGGTGTCCAGCCCGGCTAGTGATTGGGCCCCGAGGCTCGAAAATGGGCCTGAAGCACTAAACCAGGTCTGCCGTAGCCGGTGCTTCGTCTGCTTGGTGGAATGGGGCAGAGTGGGGCGGGGGGGCTTCTCGCCACACATCATTGTCCCGCCAACGCCCGAGAGTAGCAGGGAGGGGCGAGGAGGGAGGAGGGGGAAGGACGCGAAGGGAGCCAGCAGATGCGCTGCTCGCCGCGTGTTCGGCCGCCCCCCGCGAGAGAGCAGAGCAGGCCTCGCTGTCCGGCGGCTTCGTCGGGGCGCCGCCCGGGCTGGCGCCGCCCGGGCTGGGGCCGCCCGGGCCGGGGCCGCCCGGGCTGGGGCCGCCCGGGCTGGGGCCGCCCGCGGGGCTGCCCCCCGGCCTGGGCGTGGCGCAGACGAAGGCCCGCCGTCGGGTGGGGCACCCCTTGCCGACGTCCGCTGTGCCTCCCCACCTCCGCCCCGCGCGCGCCGCCCTGTGCCCTCTTCAAGAGAGGAAAAAGAACACACAGACACAAGGAGTCGGCGATTCCCAGAAAATATGGGAAATTATGGGAAGTGGGGGGGAAGACAAACACCCAGAACATATGGGAAAATATAGGGAATCTGTTTATTTGTGTGTATTTATTTGTGTGTCCCAGTACCCCTTCACCTGCGTGCCGCACGTCGCTTGGCTCGCAGCTTGACTCGAGTCGGGCCTGTCCCCCCTACAGGGGGGATGTTCGACGAACGATAAAAAATACCCTAAAAATAATCCAATAATAGTCTGGGGGCTATTCTTGGATTGTGTTTTGTTTTTTCGTCGACAATCCCCCTGTAGGGGGACACGCCCGACATAATGCTTGACTCGCTCGCCGATTCGCATCGATTACATCCCGGCGTCGCTCGCACGCTGCTTGATTGTTCGCGGCCGCCGGCCAGAAGTGCCTCCCCAGCTCCCGTCGTGAACAAAGGCAGGATGAGGAATTGTTTGGCGGCTCTCGGCTTCTGGGTGCCCGTACAGGGTCCCCGAAGATCAAGGAACGAGTTTGGATGAACAGTTGGCCCTGGGGTAAGGGTGGAGGCTTCCGTAGGCACCGTATTCTTAAAAACAAAATGAAGCCCTTGCGGCAGAACGCCCTGAACAAGTTTACACAGTCCGCGATGGGGAGGCAATGTGGGCGGCCCACGATGAGCCGCCGATTGCCACCGTTGACCAGCGATTTCTTGGGCCCAGGCTTCCTCACCGGGCGTTAGAAGCGATACCTATTATGTGACGAGGCCCTGTGCACAAGCTGGTTCGGGGGGGTACATAGACCCCTACAGATCCAGTGCGAAAGCGCGGGAGTGTTCAGCAATAGTGGTACGATTCGTGTGAGTAGGAGTAGTGGTAGAACTAAGAGTGCTAATAGTAGCAGTAGAATTGGTGGTAGTAGTAGTGGTGGCAATCGTAGGCGTAGTTGTAGCCGCGGCCGTAGTGGTTGTTCTAGTACGGATCGTGTAACTATTGAAAGGTGGCACCAGTGACAGTACTATCGCTCGCCATATTTGTCTTAGTAGTCGAACTTGTCTTCGCAGTGGCAGGATGCCTGGAGGCTGTAATCAGTTGAAGTGGTGGTAGTAGTAGTTGTAGTAGTAGTAGTAGTAGTAGTAGTAGTAGTAGTCGTCGTCGTCGTCGTCGTCGTCGTCGTCGTCGTCGTCGCCGTAGTAGTTGTAGTTCTCGCACTCGTACTAATAGTATGAGGTGTAGTAGTAGTAGTAGTAGTAGTAGTAGTAGTAGTAGTAGTAGTAGTAGTAGTCGTAGTCGTAGTAGTCGTAGTAGTAGTAGTAGTAGTAGTAGTAGTAGTAGTAGTAGTCGTAGTCGTAGTCGTAGTCGTAGTCGTAGTCGTAGTCGTAGTCGTAGTCGTATTAAGTAGTAGTCGTAGTAGTAGTAGTAGTAGTAGTAGTAGTAGTAGTAGTAGTAGTAGTAGTAGTAGTAGTATTAGTAGTAAGTAGTAGTAACGTAGTAGTAGTAGTACAGTATAAGCAGCAGCACAGCAGCAGCAGCAGCAGCATTGCTAGCGAGCAAGCAGGCAGTATAGTCGTAGTCGTAGTCGTAGTCGTAGTCGTAGTCGTAGTCGTAGTCGTATTCG